GGGAGAGATATTCTGCAAGCTCCCTCCTCACATTCACCCGTCCCAGCATCCAAACCGTTAATACGCTGTCTTCCTTCCTTTTGCAACAGATGAAAGACTCAGGCTTCCTCTAGGACACTGCCTCCCCTTAGGCCCCAAATCTCCTTCTCCCCTACTCAAAGCCCTGACAACAGCCATTCTCCACACTCTCCTGTGTCATCAACTTTCTCCCTCTGAGGATTACAGTAAGTCCTTTGCATACGAACAAGTTTCCTTCCAAGAGCACATTTGTAATTCTAATGTGTTCACAAGTCCAGCAAAGTTAGCCTAGGTACCCAACTAACACAATTGACTACACAGCACCAGCTACATCACTGCTGCTTAAAAGCAGTTGCTTCCAGACATCCTGGGCTTGAAATAAAGATACTGTATGACTGTACTGTAGACAGTATTATACAGTAAAATACACAAGAGCACAACCACTTATAGAGGAGGCACACACATGACAATGTATGCCAGACATGGGAATTAACTTATGTGATTGGACACATGAATGCATGCTCATGTCTTTGAAAGTTCACAACTTGAAGGTTCTTATGTAGGGAACTTACTATATTTCCATCAGCATTAAAACACTGTTATTTCTTCCATCTCAAAAGCAAAAACCAAAGAATCTTTGAAATTAAAAAAAAAATAATTTTGCTTAAAAACACATAAAATTTACAACTGTAACCCTTTCTAAGTATACAGTTCAGTAGTGTTAAATATATTCACATTGTTGTGGAACAAATCTCCAGAACTTATTTATTTTTCAAAACTGAACTTCTTGTACCCATGAAACAATAATTCCCCATTCCCACCTTCCCCAACCCCTGGCAATCACATTATACTTTCCGTCTATGAATTTGACTTTTGGCTATGGTAAAGAGTGTTGCCAGGAACATGGATACAAAATATCTCTTTGGGACTCTATTTTCTATTCTTTTGGAGTATATACTCAGAAATGGAATTGCTGGGTCATATGGTCATTCTGTTTTTAATTTTTAAAGAAATTTCTATACTGTTTTCCATAGCACCATCACCATTTTACATTCTCACTAACATTGCATAAGGGCTCCAATTTCTTCACATCCATACCAACATCTGCTATTTTCTGTTATTTTGGTCTTTTATAATACTTATCTTAATGAGTGCAAGGTGGTATCTCATTACAAGGAAAAACATCTTTTACCCCTAATATTCTCTCTGGCTATAGCTGGTTCTCTCCTCCCCTTTTTGAGAAAACTGCTCGAAAATTGACTTTACTTCCTGATCCCAATGTTTCTCTTCCCGTTATTTCCTAAGCTTATTCCAATCAGAAACTTCCCTATTTTAAAATTTCACCCCAAGGCTCTTCAATTGCATTTCCCTCTCCTCTTTATTTTCATTATAGCTCTTATCACCTTCTAACATTCTGTAAAATTTACTTCTTTATTCTATTGTCTCTTTCCCTCCATTAGAACGTTGGTTCCAAGAAGTCAAAGATTTCTTCTTATTCCAACCCAACTGACTGTTCCATAGTCTTTCTCACTGATAAATTGCTAAATCTAATGGCCATTCCTAGCCTCACTTATCTGATCAGAGCATTTGGCATGGTTAATGACTCTCTCCTCCTTGAAACCCTCTCTCCACTTTGGCTGTCATGATGCCAACCCCTCCCCATTTTCCTTCTACCTCCTGGGTGCTCTTTCCTGTTTCTTTTGCTGGTTCCTCATTTCTCCAACCTCTTCATGTTGGAGTCTTTTCTTTCCTGTTTCTTTTGCTGGTTCCTCATTTCTCCAACCTCTTCACGTTGGAGTCTTGCAGGGCTCAGTGTTGGATACTTCTCTTCTCCATCTGCACTCACTTCTCTGGTGATCTCATCCATTATCATGGCCTAAATATCAACTCTATATTGATGGTTCCCAAATTCATATCTCCATGTAGACTTTCCCCGGAACTCCAGACGCTACTATATGCAACTACCTAGTTGACATCTCCACTTGGCTGTCTCGTAGGCATCTTAAACTTAGCATGTCCAAGACTAACCCCAGTCTTCTCTAGCCTCCTCTACTCTCCCCTCACTCCCCTCAAAGCAAACAAAAACAAAGCAAAAAACAAACTTTACTCCACCGGAAGCCTCCCTGGCTCACACCCTTGGCATCACCTTTGACGTCTGTCTTTCTCTCATATACTACATTCAGTGTGTTCGTAAATCCAACTCATTCCAGCTTCAAAACATATTCAGAATCTGTCCACCTCTTGTCACCTCCACCCACGGGATCCAACCCATCATCACCTCTATCTACTCCAAGTGAGCGACCCTCCCAGTTTTGCCCTTTTGAGTCTCTTCTTAACACAACAGTTGGAAAGATTGTTAGCATGTTAGTTTCCATCCTGTTCGTTTAGACCAGCTGGGGTAGTGTTGTGAGACCCAGTACGCACGTGAAAGATGCAAAGAATTGCACAAGGAGTCAGTTAGACAACGTTTATTTGGAAGGTAAATTACAGGAAAAGGGTGGAACCACCTCCACAAGATTGAAGAGGGGTTCGAGCACTGAAGAAGTGTTTGGCACTGAATGTTTGAGGCTGGGTGCTTATAAGGCTTTCTTGAGAAGGCTGGGAACAGGAGCATTCCTGGGAAATGTAACAGTGGGAGTCAGGAGGTGTTGTTATAGAGATTAGCTGTTCATGATGGCAGCAGCTAGATAGTTGATTACCTAGGCAGGGAGAGTAGCCAGGGTCTGTAAAACAAAATTTTAAGGCACAAATGTTAAGCTTTGAATGTCCTTGGATTTAGGGAACAAAAGGGCATTTAGCTGGGAGTGTGCTGTTCATGGGAAGATAGTAGGAGGGCTGAGTCATCATAAAGGTTTGTTTCTTTTATCTTGGTGTCCCAATGGTTTGTCATGAAAGATAGCTAGAAACTCATCCTTGGAGCAAGATGCTAATTACAAAATCCTAATGCCTGTTACCAGGGGAAGTTACAGTTTTGCCAGTTTTATTCATTGGTGAGTTTAAACAGTGGAGTTAAACTTATTTCAGAGCAAGAGAGTTAGCAGAGCCAATTACCCAATAAAATATTATTGACTGAAGCATACTATGAATTGGTAGTTATAACAAAACAAAAATATAAGCCAACACCCAGCTGCCTGCTTGCAATGGCCAAGGTGACCCCATTTTGGCATTTTACTCTTTCACTTCCTATTGTTTTCCTGCTCCAAAGACCTCAGGGTAATAGCCAAAGGCCTTACAGTGTCCTGCCAAGCCCTGCCCCATCTGGCTTTGTTACCTCTCCAACCTCAATCTGGCCTCCCCACAGTGGCACAAAGCCTCCAGGCACACTCCTGTCTTAGGACCTTTGCATGTTATATCTCGTTGCCTGGAACAGTCTTTCCCTAGACAGTTGAACGGCTTGATCCCTCACCTCCTTCAAACCTTTGTGGAATGTCACCCAAGAAGTACCTTTACCATCTGCTTTAAAATGTCCACCCAGAGGACAATTCCTCAACCACACTTCTCATGCCCATTCCCTCTCTATGTTTATCACTAGCTTTTGTCATCTTCTAACACACTATGTCATTTACCTAGTCTATGTATTGTCTCTCTCCCCCAAGTAGAATATCAGTTCCATGAGGGCAAAGATTTTCGGTATACTTTGTTCCCTGTTGTATCCCTAGCAGCTAGAAGAGTGTTGGGCTTGAAATAGGTCCTCAATATGTATTTTTTGAAAGAATAAATGAATGAATATAGAATGATTGGATAGTCAACTGTGAGAATACGATTTCTCCATGACTATTATTATTATCCTATTCTTAAAATCTGAGAGGAGTCTTAGAATGTGAATATATAGATGAAGACTGCACAAATGCTAACAACTGAACATACAACTTTGCTACTCAAAGTATGGGCCATGGACTCTGAGGTCCACCTCAGAACTCTCAAATCAGAGACTGCATTTTAATGAGACCTCCAGGAGGTTTGTTGTAAAAATTGAAAAGCTCTGGTGTTGGGCAGTCGTCCCCAACTTTAACTGTGTTTTGGAATTTGAGTATCTTAAAGACCTACCGATGCCTGGATCCCACTTCCTTAGACTCGCTTAACTCGTCTGAAGTGGGGTATAGACACAGGGCGGTGGCCGAGAGGAGAAGGACTGACTTGTTCATTATTTTGGCGTAACGGGCTAAGAATAAAAGTTTGTCTCAAACCAGGCAAAGTGGGCACCAAAGGGAGGCCCAAACTTTACCAGTACGATGACCACTTGTATACCTAACCCTGAATGGTACCCCACATATTTAAAATAAAATAATTTTTTAAAAAAATTTTAAAGAGTTTGTCTCTATGCCAGTCTTGGTACAGAGAGTGACTTGCTGATATGGATTTCATCAACTAGTCATTTTCACCTTATTCTGTAAAGGCACATTTCAGCTCCTTGCTTGTGGTTTCAAGTGAGATCACCAAGGTGGCTTCTGATCCCTACCAGAGACTTGCCCATGCCCACATACGAGTGGGCTTCATCAGAAAATAAACACTGAGCTGTATGTCAGCCCCTTGGAGGAATGGCCCCTGCCTCCTGTTCCAGCAGGATCCAGTGATCTTTGAGAGCTCAGCAGAAAGGGAGGGAGAGCTTCAGGGTCGATCTCCAGGTGCATGGGGGGATAGCCCTGTCCACCGGATACTGGGAGCACAGGGGTGCAGGCTGGATGTCATCTTTCCTATCCTATATCCTGTACTCAAAAGTCTCCTGGATTTCCACACCTCTGTGTGTTCCTGCACCCACTGCCTGACACTGTCATTTACTGCAATAAGGGTGAAGTGTAGAGGTGACCTCTGAGTGTGACCCCAAATGTGAATCCTAAGCATGAACTTGTCTGCAGCTCAGGCCTCAAAGCTGCACGATGGAAAGGCATGGAAGCATGAAAGAGGAGCAAACGCTTACCTAGCTGGGAACGGGGTAGAGAGCCTATCTAGATTTTCATTGACCAATGGGCTCTCTCTTTCAGCTCAAGTCGCAGGTTCTCATGACCCCGTTAGCGCTCTCACCTCCGCGGAGCATCCCGGAGCCCGACCTCAGCTCCATCCCTCAGGACGCAGCCACAGTTCCCAGCTTGGTGGCCCCACAGGCCCTCACAGGTAGGTCAGCAAAGTGAACTCCAAGGCTGTGACAGCCTGCAGGGAACAGGGCGGCCACCACCTCACAGTTACTTTGTGACCTCAAGAGTTGCTGCTGGGATGGCTCAAATGAGAGACTTAATGTGTTCGCCAGACAGCAGACGGGACAACCAGATTCTCTGAAAACATGAGTTAGGTGTCTTGCAGCTTGATTTTCAGTGCATCTTGGGTTTAGATGGTTGCTTTGGGTGAGGTTGTGGAGGGCCCAGGAGTGGCCAGATGTTTCTTTTCAGAACCAAGTTTTCTTTGCACCAATATAACCCTGCTCACCTTGAAGAGTGGACTTCTGGATCTCCTAAGGATCTTAATCTCCCCTAATCCAGCCTGGGTAGCAGGCATCCCAATCTCTCTCTGTCTGGTGGGGCATCCACCAACCCTACAGTTTCATCATAATAGTGATGACAATCTGATGGCATCATGCACACACACACACACACACACACACACACACACACACACACGACCCCCCTTCACAATCCACTTAAATCCCTTTAGTCCTTTCCCATTGCTCTGAGGTAAAGCCCACGCTTGCTAATATGACTGATGAGGACCTGAAGACTCCATCCCTTTGATTCAGTCCACTGCCCTTCCCTCGGTCCCTGGGACTTGTCAGAGGGTCTCGTCATATTCTCTTCCTCCCTCTGGGGTGACCTTCCCTTCGGGTCACCATAGTTCTCCCTTACATCTCAGGCACACTTCCTTCCAGGAAGTCCTCACTGACTTTTCAGTCAGGGTTCCCAGTATGGGCTCTAGCCATAGTCCCACGGGTCACATCAGTTTGTGTAATTAACTGAATAATCTGCCTCTGCTACTGAGCCGTAAGCTCTGTGGAGGCAGGGACCACTCCATTTTGTCCACTCTTACTCTGCAGGGGATAGCATAGTGCCTGCATGAGGGTCTCATTAATTAGATGTTCCTTATCACCTTGGATGAGTGAAAGAGAAGGCAGCCTGGTGGAGGGGAAAGATCACCCATCATCAGAGAGACTTAAGTCCAAATTCTTGTTGCGCCACTGACTACAGACTTGGAGCGGCCATCTTACTACTTAAAGCTTCAGTTTCTTCATCAGTGAAGTAACACTAATAACACCCGACTCACAGGTTTGTTTTGAGAATGTAGTAGGTGCTCAGTAAAAACTGTTTCTTCACCTTTAACGTTTCCAAAACCTCCTAAACTCTCTATTGAACACTCCTTGTGCCAGTGGACTTCAAGGTGGGAGCCTCATATCCTGGGAAAGTGGGGGAGGGGCCAATGATGGGGACCTGGAGGACAAGTACCTGAGAGGGTCACTAATGCATGGAAGCACACGTGACACCTGCTATTAATATTTAATTGTAGCTCATCCTTTAACAATTTCTGTTTCCTGGGTATGTTTTATTTTTTTATTTTTTTTGAGTTGGAGTCTCACTCTGTCGCCCAGACTGGAGTGCAG